CCCCCCCCCAGTTTTGCCCCGGCCAGCCCGCGGCACCACCCAGCCCTTCGGAGGAAACGCAGGGTGTTTTCTGCCTCCCTGCCAGGCACCTAACCTGTGGGGCAAGTGATTTGTTCCCGAAGAGCAGATTAACCCAGTACAGAAGAAAATAAGCTGACCAACTTCTGTCTCTCTTTTTTTTTTTTTTTAAAAAAAAGCAATTACTAGATCCATAAAAGCATTTAGAAAAAGGTTAAAAAGTATTCGTTTTATCTGCCTCCGAGACCCGCGGGGCTGTTTGCTTTCCCAGTGATTCCTTTCCCCAGCCATTCAGGCCAGAGTTTTCTCTTTTGGGCCAGCAGCATTCCTGCCATCGACTTCAACTACACAAAAAACCAGCAGGTAAATGGGCTCACACCTCCTTTTAATTTTATTTTTCTTTTGTACTGCATACAGCGCTTTCCTAAAAGGAGCAGCAAGTGTTTTCCTCTTGGCTTGACACCCCCAAATGCCCGCAGAGACAGGCTCAGCAAAGGTTTCTGACCAGCTCCCGGGTGATGCTCCTGCTGCCCAACTCACACCCAGGGCTCCCAGCGGCGGCAAGGAATAAGTAATTTATTTCCCCAGGGGATAATCCTGGTACCCCAGTGCAGAAGTAGCTGCCCAAAACATAGTGGAGTCCCAAAATGCCACAAAACTCTTTCCACACTGACAAAGCGGGAGAGATGCTGAACAATATACAGCTTTTTGTCCCAGTTTAGGAGTGCAGAGCTTGGTGCTGCCTAAACCAAGCCTGCCAGGTGAGGTACGGGGGAGCAGCAGCCAAGGGGAGAAGGCTTGGGGGACCTGCAGCTCGGTCCAGCACTGCCACTGCATCAACAAGACACGACCCATAGACCTTACTAAAAAGTTAGCTCAAAATACTCGTTGAAGTGTTTTAACGACCCCATCTCCTCCTGTGGCAGGACGGGAGGGGGTTTCTGGAGGAGCTGGTGCCCCATTACAATGCTCTGTCATTGGGACGGCCACTCGTAATGCTGGTGGAGCCGGAGAGGCGTTGGTTGCTGTTCCCCCAGCCCCACGTCCTCACCGATGGCTATTCCTGGCCAAGGAACAATGAGTGCAAAAAGCAAGGTTTGGTCACGACAAGTTTCAGCCCCGAAACCAGAGGTTTCTTGGAGAAGCCCAGGCCATGCTGGGCTCACTCTTACCTGTCCGCAGGTGGCAGAGTTGGGCAGGGAGATACTGCATCGCTCCGGGGCACCCTGGCCACCCTCCGGATCCGGCCCCACGGCTGCTCCCCCAGGCGAGGGGAATCACCCACAGCCCGGGGTCCCACTGCCCACCAAACGACGGGGCGAGGTAGCACCACGATGGAGCGCTCAAAGCCAGGGGCTTGCATGCCTGAGCCACACAGGACGGCTTCACTGCGCTGGTCCTCGGCAAACACCTCCACCGGCTTGGTCTCACCCTGCGTAACACAGAATGGCAAAGTGCCCACCCCCAGGAGAGCTGGGAAGGGCAAGTCAAGCCCCAATTCAGCCCAGCTGGGGAGCTAACCCTCGGTGTCCCGGGGCTGTCTGTCAACCGCCCCGGGCTTCTCCCCAGCAAAGGGCCGGCCATGCTGCCCACCCCTGCCCTGAACCCCCCTGGTGCTCCCCAGGGGAGGGCAGGAGCAGGGACCCCCGCACAACCCCCGAGCTGGACTGCCGGGGCTCCCCGTAAGTTGCACACTCAAGACATCTCCGTAACACGCCCCCCCCCCCTTGCCCTGGGGAGCCTCTTTCTGCGGGCGAGTCTTCTGCCGGAGCAACAAAGCGGCCCCAGGAGGGGGACGGTGCCACACAAACCCATCTCCTCAGGCCATCCTTGGCGTTTGCAGGCCCCCCGGACGGCTCCAGC